CCTACAAACCAAAGCGGGTGGCCATGGGCACCGGTATGGGCCTGAGTTATGCCTGCTTCTTTGTAGGATTCGTGGAATAGTCCCTCTTCAACAACTATACCAGCACCATACTTCACTCTTCCTCTGCTGCACTGATGACTGTATCGGTGCTCACGCGAGGAGCTCAAACAGTTCATCAACTTCGCCCACACATTCCACCACACCCTCAAATTCACCTGGACCATTTCTGACACCTCCCTCCCCTTCCTGGACCTCCGTCTTCATCTCCAGAAACTGACTCACCACTGACATCCATTTCAAACCAACTTTCTCTCACAACTACCTCGACTACACCTCCTCTCACTCACCCTCCTGCAAAAATGCTATCCCATACTCACAATTCCTCCGCCTCTGCCACATCTGGTCCCAGAATGAGACGTTTTACTCTAGGACTTCCCAGATATCCTCCTACTTTAGGGACTGTAGTTTCCCTTCCTCTGTTATTAAGGATGCCCTCGACCGCATCTCCCTGATTTTCCTGCAAACCTCTCCCCCTAACAACAATAAGGATGGAGACTCCTAAGTGCTCACATATCACCCCTCCAATCTCCAAATGCAACACATCATCCTCCAACATTTCTGCCACCTACAGTCAGACCCCATCCCAAAAAAGATATTTCCCTCCCCACCCCTGTCTGCTTTCTGCAGGGACTGTTCACTCTGCAACTCCCTCATCAGCTCCACACACTCTACCAACCCCTTCACCACCACACCCAGTACCTTTCTCTGCAACTGCAGGAGGTGCTACACTTGTCCCTACACCTCCCCTCTCACCTACATCCAAGGCCCCAAACAATCCTTCCAAATCTGTCAGAGATTCATCTGCACTTCATCTACCCTAATCTGCTGTATCCGTTGCTCCCAATGTGATCTCCTCTATATTGGGGAGACCAAACGCAGATTCGTGGACTGGTTCGCAGAGCACCTGCATTCTACAGGCACCAACCAACCCATCCATTTTAACTCCCCCTCCCACTCTCTTGGTGACATGTCCATTCTTGGCCTCCTCCACTGTCACAGTGAGACCAAACGTATACTAGAGAAACAACACCTGATATTTCGCCTTGGGAATTTACAGCCCAAGGGCCTGAATATTGACTTCACCAGCTTCAAAATCTCTCCACCCCAACCTGTCCATCTTCTGACTCACCTACATGCTCCACCCTTCCCACTGACTAACCACAATAACCCCTACCTGTATCTACCAATCTCCACCCTACCTACCCTCCCCCCAGCCCCACTTCCACCCTCCTCTATTTATTTCTGAGCTACCCCTCCCCACTTCCCAATCCTGATGAAGGATTTTGGCCCGAAACGTTGACTTCCCTGCTCCTCGGATGCTGTCTGACCTGCTCTGCTTTTCCAACTCCATATTTATTGACTCAGACTATTCAGCATCTTGAACCTGTTCCAACGTCATCCAATAGAAGTCAGTGACTCATCACTAGTATGCCAAAAGTAACACAATTTAAACCACATGCCTTCATTTTGATCATAAACATCTTGCAAACAACACCGATAACTATACTTCATGTGTAGAATCATTAAACATCTACCATCATTAAGTGAAAAATTTTGCAGTTGTTCTCTTTCATCAAAAGTTGGAATTTTGTTATAAATTTATCACATCTTGTCCATCAGTTGTGGGAGGACATTGATTTTATCAAGCAATTGCTAAGAATGTTTAACTAGCAAAGATGTGCCTGCAGTGCCCTTGCTTACCATCCAGAACACAGTTGGTTCCCTTAGCTGTCTCATACCTTCCTGGATCTGCTCATTGTCGGTTTGGTTGCGTTTTTCTCTTGTCCTGAAGCACTTATTCTGAATGGTCAAATTGATTCTGCTATCCGCTGTCCTCTCCATATGCAGTTACTGGTGTTTCCATGATGCTCCAGTCCAATATTTTTATTTTTGGTAGCAGACGCTCAACAAGTGCTCATCGAAGTTTTTTAAATTTAATTTGATTGTGGGATGTGGGCACCACTGGCTGGGTCAGCATTTATTGCCCATATCTAATTTTCCAAAGACCAGTTTCGAGTTAACCACTTTGCTGTGGGCCTGGAGTCACATATAGGCCAGACCAGGTGACGATGGTTGATTTCCTACCCTAAAGGACATTAGTGAACCAAATGGCTTTTTATGACAATCAAAAGTTTAATACTAGATTTTTTTTAAAAAATCCAAATCTCACAACCTAATATGGCAGAATGTGAACCCTTGTTCCCAGGACATGAGCCTGAGGTTCTGGATTCTTTGTCTAATGACATTACCACTATGTCATCATTTCCACAAATAAAGCATGCATTTTCATAAAATAAGTTTGAGAATCTGCTTCTCATCTTACTATTTTATCAGTAAATGTACACTTATATAATGAGTACAAGTATTGAGATCAATTTCCCAATGGTGATGCTTAATGTTCATGGTTAACATATCAGATAACATTGAATTAGATCACAGCCTATCTGTGCCTCAGCACCACAATTCCCTGACAACTGCATAACAGCAAGTCTAAATTGAACATCACCTCCACACTTCATAATTTTTATGACCATTTCAAGATATCATAAAAACAGAAATTCTGTAATTTTCTCTATTAATTCTGACACATTATGATCTGCATTACGTTTGTTTTTGGAAGTGCTGCATTGAGAATAATCAGACACCATAATGTCATTACTTGAAATGCACTTTATTGATATCACACTCTCTGCAGTTTTCCTGTTTTAATTTATTTTTATCATAATGCTGAAGTATCACTTTATGTTCCATATGGTTAGGCAGCTGGATGGTTGATAGTGTTGGGACTGTGTTCTGTCAAGATGTCAGTGAAACCAGTGGCTGAGTCTGTGAATATTATTCACGTCAATGTGTTCCCATAAACTGGAATGCACAGCAGCAAAGAGAAATGGGAATAAGAAATGTTGGGAGCAGAGCAGTACCAATAGTGAAGAAGACAAATCTGAAGACAGACAGAGATACATGCAAGAGAGGAAGAAGCTAAATAAGATGAAATGACAGGGAGGAGTGAAGTTACAGCCAGGTAGCAGGCCAGCAGAATGATTATCACTGGATATACCTCATTTATTAATTTTGTTACATCCTCAAAGGATCTTAATAAATTTATGCAGCATCAGCTTTTAGTTACTGGACAGTGTAGACCAGAATTGTGGCTCAGGACTATGCGGAATCTCTGATGCATTGGAATTGCCCCAGAACTCGAAATTATCGCTGGACAATTCCCCTGCTTCTGGAACCCTCCTAAAAAGACCCTTAAAGTCAGACCTTTACAGAGTTTGGTCTCACTTAAGTTTCATCATTACCGAGTAAAGGTCAGAGCACTAAAAATATACTCTAACTATTTGATAACTATTAAACTAACTTCCAACTCACCAGTGATCCTACCTCAACCCAACTACATCCCAGAACCTTAACACCTCTGGACCCAACACACCTATCCCTAGACACAACACCCGCTCCCTGTGACCCGACACCTAACATTCTGCTCCCCCTGACCAAATCTTGCTGAAACTGACAATCCTCTGACCTGACATGATCTTCTTGACATGATCCACCCAACCCAACCTACACCCAGCCCCACCCTGCCAGACTGGATCCTCTAACCTATTTTAAGCAGACATTTACTTACTCTATCCATCAGGTACCCATTTTGTCATCCAAACTCCTGTCCCTCACTTACCTTAAATATTGACAGGAAAAAAAAGGATGTAATTTTACTGGAGAGGGTGCAAGAGATTCAGCATGGTGTTGCCTAGGCTGGAGCGATTCAATTCTGAAGTTATTTTCCTTAGAGCAGAGAAGGCTGAGGGGGGAGTTGATTGAGGTGTACAAAGTTTCAGTAGATGGAGAGAAAGGTAAATAGTGCAGTTCAGAATGGATTTGAGGAAAATATTTTTTTCACCCAGAGGGTTGTGAGTACTTAGAACTCACTGTCTAAAAGGGTGGTAGAGACAGGAACTTTCAAAACATTTAAGAATTATTTAGATGAATGCTTGAAACACCATAGTGTACAAGGCTATGAGCCAACAGCTGGAAAATGAGATTAGAATAGATGGAAGTTTGAAGTCTGGTGTGAACACAAGCTGAAGAGCCTCTTTCCATGCCGTTAAAACTCTGACTGCATAAATGACATCAGCTAAGGTTTCTGGATACTAGTCCAGTGACACTACCACTCGGCCATCACCTCCCTCTTGCTTTTGTTAACAATGGTGGAGCGTGAACCACTAGTGAGTCTTAATGAAAAGAAGTGCTGGTTTTAACAAGCTTTAGTTTATTGCATGGTAGAAACAGGAACAATTACGTTGGTTGGTCAGACATAATAACTAAGATTATTAGGGTAGGGGGCTCTTGTGACACTGGCAATGCCCCTCCCTCAGTGCCAGGAGGGCTGGGTTCAAGTCCACCCTTCTGGATGTGTGCCACAACATGTCTGAGCAAGTTGATCTTAAAGACTATTTGAACACCGATGATACACCTGTCTATACTGGGATCTGGAGCTAGACACCCCTTCCCTGTTAAGACTGTATGAACATCATCAAATTAGGTACGACTTAAGGCAGTCATCAACATTAATAGTTTAAGAATCATTCCCTAATGGATGTTCCCTTCTCATCTCCCGCTCCGATATTGTCTAGCGTGGCTCACATAAAACACTTTTACCTCCAATTTGGAGCCAAAATAGCACCAACCAACAGATATAACAGAGCTGGATTCTGTGGCCTTTATCTCCATGGATTGTGAACTGTAGATACTTTTCGGCTTTTTGTTTTGATTTAGATTAGTAGTCATGGAGAAAGCAGCCCCAGGTTCACAGTAAATTAATGGTCCTACAGGCTTTCTCACTGGGACTGAGTCTGCACAGAAACAGGGTGGCGGCGCGTTCCAACGGTTACCATGGCGACCGGACGCCTTGCCGCGTTGCACTATGGGAAGGGGACGGCATTGCTGCGCGTGCGCACTTGGCCAGCGCGGCTACACTTGGGGAAGCTAGAGGCTGAAGAAAATAAAGAGAAAGATGAAGGTGAGAGAGGAAGCGCGGGTGGAGGCTGCTTCGGTATCATCAAGTCTTCGGGTTGAGGGCAGGGAGATGTATTCGCGTTAACAATTTTCGGTTTTGCTACTTAGCGCCGCTGTGGTCGCAGGCTTGTGATAACACCGCAATTTGGAAAGGCCTCAGCTCTACTCTGACGGTTACTATGGAAACGGAGTTGGTGGTTCAATGGATTGTAGTCCCTGAACTCTCATGACCCAGAAAATATTCCCCCGAGACGTGGGGATATTCTCTCCCCTAGTAAATATTGTAACTGTACTCTCACTGTGTTGACCACAAATCCATTAATACCAGATTCCACTGGATATTGCAAAGGCTGTGGGCCCTGAGAATATTCTGGCAATAGTACTTGTGCTGCAGAACTTGCTGCTTGCCTAGCCAAGCTGTTTCGGTTAAGTTACAATGCTGGCACTTACCTGTCGATGTGAAAAATTGTCCAAGTATGTCTTGTACACCAAAAGCAGGACAAATCCAACCTGGCTAATTGACTCCCCATTAGTCTATTGTTGATCATGTGGTAAGTGACGGAAGGTATCATTAACAATGTAATCAACCAGCACTTGCTTGTCGACAATCTGCTCAGTGATGTCCAATTTGAGTTCAAACATAGACAAAACAACTGAATTCCAGGAGTGAAAGTGACAGCCCATGAAATCGAGGCCATGTTTGATAGAGTGTGGCATCAGGAAGCCCTACTAAAATTCAAGTCACTGGGAATTAGGAGAAAACGCTCTGTTAATTTGATGCATTCCTTGCACATAGGAAGATGGTCGTGATTGTCAGAGATCAGTCATCTCCGCTTCTGGAACTCTCTGCTGGAGTTCCTCAGGGTGGTTCCGAGGTCCAACCATCTTTAGTAGCTTCTTCGATAACCTTCCCTCCTTCATCAGGTCAGATGTGGGGATGTTCACCAATACTTGCACAGTGGCCAGCACCATTCATGACTCCTTGGATACTGAAACAGTCCCTGTCCAAATGCATCAAGACCTGGACAATATTCAGGTTTGGGTGGAAAACGTGGCAAGTAACATTCATGCCATCACTTGACATTCAATGGAGTTACCATTACTGATTCCCGCATTGTTAACATCCTTGGAGTTACCGTTGACCAGAAACTCGACTGGACATACCATTATAAATACAGTGGCTACAAAAGCAGGCTAGAGGCTTGGAATAACAAGGTGTAGAGCTGGATGAACACAGCAGGCCAAGCAGCATCATAGGAGCAGGAAGCTGACGTTTCGAGCCTAGACCCTTCATCAGAAATGGGGGAGGGGAAGGGGGTTCTGAAATAAATAGGGAGAGAGGGGGAGGCGGATAGAAGATGGATAGAGGAGAAGATCGGTGAAGAGGAAACAGACAGGTCAAAGAGGCGGGGATGGAGCCAGTAAAGGTGAGTGTAGGTGGGGAGGTAGGGAGGAGATAGGTCAGTCCAGGGAGGACAGACAGGTCAAGGGGGCGGGATGAGTATAGTAGATAGGAAATGGGGGTGTGGCTTGAGGTGGGAGGAGGGGATAGGTGGGAGGAAGAACAGGTGAGGGAGGTGGGGACGAGCTGGGCTGGTTTTGGGATGCGGTAGGGGAAGGGGAGATTTTGAAGCTTGTGAAATCCACATTGATACCGTTTGGCTGCAGGATTCCCAAGCGGAATATGAGTTGCTGTTCCTGCAACCTTCGGGTGGCATCGTTGTGGCACTGCAGGAGGCCCAGGATGGACATGTCGTCTGAGGAATGGGAGGGGGAGTTGAAATGGTTCGCGACTGGGAGGTGCAGTTGTTTATTGTGAACCGAGCGTAGGTGTCTGCAAAGCGGTCCCCAAGCCTCCGCTTGGTTTCCTCGATGTAGAGGAGGGCACAACGGGTACAGCGGATGCAGTATACCACATTAGCAGATGGGCAGGTGAACATCTGCTTGATGTGGAAAGTCTTCTTGGGGCCTGGGATGGGGGTGAGGGAGGAGGTGTGGGAACAGGTGTAGCACTTCCTGCGGTTGCAGGGAAAAGTGCCGGATGTGGTGGGGCTGGAGGGGAGTGTGGAATGGACAAGGGAGTCACGGAGAGCGTGGTCCCTCCGGAAAGCAGATAAGGGTGGGGTCAGATTGCAGATGGCGGAAATGTTGGAGGATGATGCGTTGGATCCGGAGATTGGTGGGGTGGTACGTGAGGACAAGGGGGATTCTTTTTTGGTTGTTATTGCGGGGACAGGGTGTGAGGGATGAGTTGCGGGAAATGCGGGAGACATGGTTGAGGGCGTTCTCAACCATTGAGGGGAGGAAGTTGCGGTCCTTGAAAAACGATGACATCTGAGATGTACGGGAGTGGAATGCCTCATCCTGGGAGCAGATGCGGTGGAGGCGAAGGAGTTGGGAATAGGGGATGGCATTTTTGCAGGAAGGTGGGTGGGAGGAGGTGTATTCTAGGTAGCTGTGGGAGTTGGTGGGCTTGAAATAGATATCGGTTTCTAGGTGGTTGCCCAAGATGGAGACAGAGAGGTCCAAGAAGGTGAGAGAGGTGTTAGAGATGGGTCCAGGTGAACTTAAGGTTGGGGTGGAAGGTGTTGGTGAAGTGGATGAACTGTTGGAGCTCCTCATGGGAGCACGAGGCGGTGCCGATACAGTCATCAATGTAATGGAGGAAGAGGTGGGGTTTAGGGCCAGTGTAGGTACAGAAGAGGGATTGTTCCACGTAACCTACAAAGAGGCAGGCATAGCTTGGGCCCCTGCGGGTACCCATGGCCACTGCCTTTGTCTGTAGGAAGTGGGAGGAATTGAAAGAGAAGTTGTTGAGGGTGAGGACGAGTTCGGCTAAGCGGATGAGGGTGTCACTGGAGGGGGACTGGTTGGGCCTGCGGGACAGGAAGAAGCGGAGGGCCTTTACGCCATCTGTATGGGAAATGCAGGTGTATAGGGACTGGACGTCCATGGTAAAGATGAGGTGTTGGGGACCGGGGAATTGGAAGTTCTGGAGGAGGTGGAGGGCGTGGGTGGTGTCACGGACGTAGGTAGGGAGTTCCTGGACCAAGGGGGAGAAAATGGAGTCGAGATAGGTGGAGATCAGTTCGGTGGGGCAGGAGCAGGCGGAGACAATGGGTCGACCAGGACAGTCAGGTTTGTGGATTTTGGTTAGGAGGTAGAAGTGGGCAGTGCGGGGTTGGGAAATGATGAGGTTGGAGGCCGTGGGTGGGAGGTCACCTGAGGTGATGAGGTTGTGGATGGTTTGGGAGATGATGGTTTGGTGCTCAGGGGTGGGGTCATGATCAAGGGGGCAGTAGGAGGCGGTGTCGGAGAGTTGGCGTCTGGCCTCGGCGATGTAGAGGTCAGTGCGCCATACTCCAACTGCGCCTCCCTTATCCGCAGGTTTTGTGGTGAAGTTGGGATTGGAGCGGAGGGCTGCACGTTCTGTGGGAGAGAGGTTGGAGTGGGTGAGGGGGTGGTGAGGTTGAGACGATTGATGTCTCGATGGCAGTTGGAGATGAAGAGGTCGAGGGAGGGTAGGAGGCCTTGGGGTGGTGTCCAGGAGGAGAGGGTGTGTTGGAGGCGGGAGAAGGGGTCAGTAGAGGGAGGGTTAGGTTCACGGTTGAAGAAGTAAGCGTGGAGGCGGAGAAGTTACTCACCTCCTGACTTCTCAAAATCTTTCCACCATCTACAAGGCACAAGTCAGGAATGTGACAATACTTCCCACTTGCCCGAATTAGTGTAAATCAAACAACACAGAAGAAGGTTGACACTATCCAGGATAAAACAGCCTGAATGATTGGCACTATGTCCAGAAACACCTGCTCTCTCCACCACCAAAGCTCCGTAGCAGCCGTACAACATGTTTTGCTAAACATCCTAAGACCACACCTTCCATGACCACTTTAATCTGGCAGCATCTGTAAAGAGAAATCAGAGAACATTTTGGGTCCGGTGACCCTTCCTCAGAACTGATGGTAGCTCGGAAAATGTCGGTGTTTATGCAGAAGATGGGGTGGGGGGAAGAAGGTAAGGAGTAAACAATAGGTGAGGGTAGAGCCCAAAGAGAGAGAAGACAGTTGGACAGACAAAACAGTAGATAAGGATTTGGCTAGGAGAGTGAATAACTGTTAATGGAGACTGTTGGTGGCTAACAATGGGTTGTGTGTAATAGCAGACTATGCAGTCACAAGGCCTGGTGTTTTGGTGTGGGGGCTAGGACATAGGAGTGTTCAAGACCTAAAGTTATTAAACTCGATATTGAGTTCAGGGTGCAGGGACCCCAAGCGGAAAATGAGGTGTTGTTCTTCCAGCTTATGCTGAGCTTTGCTGGAGCACTGCAGCAAGCCTAAGACAGAGATATTGGCCAGGGTACAGGATGATGTGTAGACATGGCAGGCAACAACTTCTTTCCTCCCCTGTCCCATTCCAACCTATCTTCCCCTGAACTGACTGCATTCTATGTGCTCAGATCCAACCTTGACTTTATTAGGGTGATGCTGTTGTAGTCTGGCGTACTGACATCTACGTTGCAGAGGCTGATGCCAGCTCTCAGGTATCTCCTCCTATCACCCGCTGGACCATGGCCCCACCGTGGAACATCCAGCCATTGGATCAACTACAGTCCTCATTTCATCTGATGATCTCCCCTCCACCGCCTCCAAGCTGATGGTATCCCAACCCCGCACAGCTTACTTCTACCTCCTTTCAAAAATCCACAAACAGGACTGCCCGGGCAGACCCATTGTTTCTGCCTGCTCGTGCCCCACAACTAATGTCTTCCTACCTTGACTTGGTCTTTTCTCCCCGGTCCAATCCCTGCTCACTTACATCTGCGATTCCTCTGACACTTTACGCCATTTTCAGAATTTCCAATTTGCAGGCTCCAGCTGCCTCCCTTCACCATGGACATGAAATTCCTCTACAATTCCATCTCCCATCAGGATAGTGTCAGGCCTCTCCGCTTCTTCCTGGAAAAAATGCCTGACCGTCTCCACCCGCACCCCCACCCCCACCACCCTCCTCAGCCTGGCTGAGGTCTTCCTTACCCTAAACAACTTCTCTTTTAACTCCTCTCATTTTCTTCAGGTCAGAGGGGTGGCCATGGGTACCGCATGGGCTCCAGTTATGCCTGTCTCTTTGTGGGGTGCGTGGAACATTCCTTGTTTGAGTCCTATTCCAGCCCACACCCAAAAGTCTTTCTCCAGTATGTTGATGATATCATCAGTGCTGCTTCCCTCTCTCATCTGAAATTGGAAGGGTTTATCGATTTTAGCTTCCAATTTCCATCCTGCACTCACTTTCACCTGGTCTGTCTCTGACTCAATTTTCTCAGTTCCTCCCTCTCCGTCGCATATGTGTCAATGGTGCCAACTTTGACAAGGGACCCTCTGAAATGTCCACCTTCTTCCTCAACCGAGGAGTCCCCAGCGCTGTTGTCGACAGGGCCCTCAACTCGGTTCGACCCATCTCCTGCACTTTGGCCCTCAACCTCTCTCTTCCCCCCCGCAATGGTGATAGGGTTCCCCTGTCCTTACCTACCATCCCACCAGCATACATAACAAGAAAATGATTAGCCACCATTTCTGCCACCTCCAGCAAGATGCCACCACTAGACATATTCTCCTCCCCTCCGTTGTCCGCCTTCTGCAGGGACCATTCCCTCCGGGACACTCTGATCGACTTTTCCTTCACTCCCAATACTGCCACAGCCCACGGCACTTTCCCCTGCAATTGCCGAAGGTGTAACACTTGCCTATTTAGTTCCTCCCTCCTCAGTATCTAAGGGCCTAAACATACCTTCCAGGTGAAGTAGCACTTTACCTGCACTTCACGCAATCTAGTCTATTGGATTCACTGCTCACAATGTGGTTTCCTCTACATTGGGAAAATGAAGCATAGGCCAAGTGACTACTTTGCAGAATTCCTAAGTTCTGCTCGCAAAAATAACCCTGAGCTTCCAGTTACCTGCCACTTCAACACATCACCTGGTTCCCTGGCCACTATCTCTGTCTCAGGCTTGCTGCTGTTCTCCAGTGAAGCTGGAAGAACAACACCTTATTTTTCGCTTGGGGACCTTGCAGCTGCTCATTATTGAGTTCAGTAACTTCAGGGCTTGAACTCTCCACTGTCCTAGCCCACACCCCCATACAACAGGCCATGTGATCACATAGTCTGCTATTACACACAACCCATTGTTAGCCACTAACAGTCTACATTAACAGCTATTCACCCTCCTTGCCAGATCCTTACCCGCTCCTTTGTCTGTCCAACTGTTCTTCTCTCCCTTTGGGCTCTATCTCCACCTATTGTGTACTCCTTACACCCTCCCCACCCTATCTTCTGCATAAACACCAACATTTTCCTAGCTACCATCAGTTCTGAGGAAGGGTCACCGGACCCAAAATGTTATCTCTGATTTCTCTTTACTGATGCTGCCAGACCTACTGAGATTTTCCAGCAATTTCTGTTTTGTTTTCTGATTTCTAGCATCACAGTTTTTTTTTGGTCTAGAAGTTATATGTGTTGTTGGGAAGTTTTTAAGAGGATAATGTGACTTAATGCCTTAAAAATTTGCAACTGATCATAGAGAGAGAGCCAGATGCATTCATGAAGAGGAAGTCGTTCCTTACTATTTTGATTGAATTCTTTGAAGAGGTGACTTAAATAGTGAGTAGGAGACTAAATTAGTGGTCAGGAGAGTGTCTATAGGTATTATTTATATGTACATCTAGAAGATATTGTTAGCTAATGTTGATGCTCGTGGAATTAAAAGCAAATTATTGATTTGGATTGGAAATTGGTTGAGAGGAAGGAGACAGAGAATTGTATGGTCCTCTGGGACTATGGCAACTTTACTAATTGGTAGTTAATCTAATTAGCAGAATGTGTTTGGTGACAGGGATCTGTGTTGGTGCTTCAGCTGTTCAGTGTTCAGTAGCTATTTAGATGCTGAGATAGAAGCCACGTATTTAAATTTGCCAAATATATAAAGATGGACGGCATTGTAAGCAAAATAGTAGGAAGCATAAATTGCAAAGGGATTTTCATAGACTAAGTGTGTAAGTTAGACTTGTCAAATGGATTTCAATGTAAGCATTTGGACCCAAAAAGAGATTGTGAAAAGCTAGAAACATTAGCAGAGGTCCAAAGAGACTTGTGGCTGAGATACACAGTTGATGGGCATAGTCTCAGAATAAAGGGGCACCAGTTTAAAACTGAAATGGATAGGTTCTTGATCAGTAGAGGAATCAAAGGTTTTGGGGAAACTGCATGAAAGTGAATATGAGCAATGTCAGATCAACCAGGATCCTATTAAATGGCAGAACAGGCTCGAGGGACTGAATGGCCTACTCCTGTTACTGTTTCTTATTATGATTAACATGTCATGGAAGGCCCAGAAAATAATCAAGAATGCTAATGGAATAGAGGCTTTTGTATCTCGAAAACTGGAAGACAAGGATGATGATTATATTGGCCTTGGAACTGGAGTGCAAGGGTTAAATTGCATGAAGAAATTGAATAAAGTATTTTTAGTATTTGGAAGTTGGAAAGTTGAAGGACAATTTCAAAGAAATTTTCGAGTTATTCCAGGAAAGGGTGGATTGGGAGAAACTGTTTGCAGCAGTTGAAGAATCTATGGCAGGTGGGCATAGCCAAAGATATCAGAGACAGAACTTTTGAGAGTGAAAATAGGAAGCATTTCATCATGAGAAAGCTTATGGGAAGCACCTACAACTGAAAGAGAAATTTATAGTTTCGCTTTTGACTTTGGGTAGTGGTGGTCCTGTGAAATCCTTGGAACAAGATGGCCATAGAGAGCAGTGCTACTGAGAAAGGAATGGCAGCTATAGTGAATTAGATTACCTTGGAGTGAAGAGGCAAGGTTAGACCCAGATGAGAAATGTTAAGGTAAAAACCGAGAAGTAGTTACTTAAGCCAGGTATAATGATGCTCAGGTGTGTGATGCCTCTAGTTAGAAGCTATTGCAGTTCCAGCTAAAAGTTGAAGTTGCAGATGACTTAAATCTGCTGAGATGTTAGGGGCAGGGAATCTGGTGTGAGTGTTGTGCAAGTGGTGCTTTGTGTACTGTACCAGGGGTTACTTTTGAGTACTACACACTGTTCTGTTTCTTTTCAATTTATAAAGGAATGTTTTGGAATTAATGGGATTATACTGTTTTTATAATCTTTGAATTTGTTTAATAAGTAGTTCGGATTGTTCTTTTTTCTATATTTCTTTTGTAGTTCTATTTTGCTGTTAAAAGCAAAAATCTGCAGATTGTGTGCTTATGTTTCAGTGAGAGATCACTTTGTTACAATCCTGTTAACAGTTAAAAACCATGATCTGTCAAGCCAGGTTTTTGTCTGGGATCTGACTTGTCCAGTAATATCATCAGCTGGGATCATAACATATTGCTTTTGTTTTATGTGCAGCAAGTATTTACCATCTCAGAGAAAATTGTTGCAGGCAACCTTGTACAATACAATTGGCAGAAAACACTCGGGAATTATATAGCCATCACTGGGTAAGGCATTTACGTTTTACTGCAAGCAATCTGCTAGAAAATGTTTATGTCATGACTTAACAGTTAAAACATTACTATTATATAATTAATGGCATTGTCTCACTATTATGGTATTCTAATGGATTTGTCTCAATTAACAGCAAATATTGAGGGTCAATAATGAACCCAGGCAACATGATTAGCATCAATGTTCTCATTTATTCATTGAATGTTTATTGAATGTAACATTATATACAAGATTACAGTGCCTATAAAACAATCCTTTATTGTGGTATCTGTTAAATAATTGTCATGTTTTTGGGGTTTACACCAAAGATATTCTAACCTGGTTTAGTGTCACAGACCTCTTCTTTACCTATAATTCAGTGTATTTTAACCTAAGCAAGTGCAATGTCATGGATTAGTGAGCCCTTTCAACAGTATGCCAGTTTAATGAAATATACCCCTTGCCAATACTCTCCCCCTCTTTAATAATCACATGGAGGTTGTGTGTAAACAGTATATTTTAATAAAGCAAAAAGTAAATGTAAATTTGCCATAGTTATAGCAGGCTGTTGAGCCACTCTTTCATTAGAGAGAGAGACTACTAGTGGTGGTTTAACCTGAGGTTCATTGCACCTCTGGTGAGTGGAGAAGTTGAGAGCCCGAGTGACAACTCTAAACTGGTTGTCAGCATAATTCTTCGCACACTCTGGATCATCCAGCAAATGTTGTCCAATTGCAGAATCACATCTAATTTTTGGAAACTATTGGGAGATCTGCAAGCCTAGCTGGTTGCTTGCTGCAAATAGCTGAATAGGTATGCTGCCTTTTGTTTGGATGTACAGTTAACATACCTGGTATCACACTGGCACTGAAGCCACTATACCACATTACTTAAAAAGAAAACACAAAAGAACTGCAGATGCTGTAAATCAGGAGCAAAAACAAAATTGCTGGAAAAGCTCAGCAGGTCTGGCAGCATCTGTGAAGGAAGAAACAGAGTCATGTTTCGGGTCCGGTGACCCTTCCTCAGAACCTTGCGCAGTTAACTCTGTTTTTTCCTTCACAGATGCTGCCAGACCTGCTGTGCTTTCACAGCAACTTTGTTTTTGTTCCTTGTTTTTATACCACATTACTTATTGGTGTAATAAGCAGAATGTCTTCTTGGATGTTCCTGTTAAATGCAAATGTGTCTCATGTAGCTACTGTATATTAATTGTGTAAAACAGCTAACTGCTAGTGCTCATTGACCCAGATTTTAAAAACAATTTGCAAAGCCTCTCTAAGGCTATTTCCATCAAAAAACAGCCATCCCAAAGCATTATAATAAAAAATCTTGTTATTACTAAACTGTCAACTCACATTCTCAACAATACCATATTTTCCATTTTATCCTTGACATGGGTGAGTATAATAGCAAAGTCTCTGCAACAGTGCAGAATAGTGCACCACAAGTTCTGGATTTATGTGCTGAAATGCAAGCGAAGGAAGTTAATAGATCTCTCACCAAGCAATGACAGTTAATGCCATCAGGCTTCATCATTGGCAGAACAAATCCACACCAGGATGTTTAATCAAGATTGGCCATCATTCTTTAACTGTGGTATAGGTTGTTTGTCTTCTAGTTGATGTGGAGGGGTATGGGCCAAACACAGACAAATGGGACTACTTTAGTTTGGGAAACCTGGTCAACATGGATGAGTTGGACTGAAGGGTCTGTTTCCGTACTGGATGACTCTATGACTGTATGGCTCTGATTATAAAAACTAGTTTAAATTTCAAAACAGCCTTTAAAATACAATCAAACAGGTGGGCTAAATGTCTTTACGTTCAATTTACATTAAAATTTTAAAACACTAGTTCACAGAGACCACTGTCTAATCTCAGTCTGATCTTTCTCTGCCATTATGTGAATATTTTCTTTGTGAATTGTAAGAAAAATCACAGTCCCAATTAACCCTGTGAGCAGTATTTACAACAATAACGTATACAAATCCATAAACTAACAGAGTTATAAGAGTCATATAGCACGGAAACAGACACTTTGATCCAAATCATCCATGCCAACCAAGTTTCCCAAACTAAATGAATCTCACTTGCCTCCATTTGGCCCCTATCCCTCTAAACCTTTCCTATTCATGTAACTGTCCAAATATCTTTTAAATGTTGTGACTGTACCTGTATCTACCACTTCCTCTGGAAGTTCATTCCACATGCGAACAACCCTCTGTGTGAAAAGAGATTGCTCCTCAGGTCCCTTTTAAATCTTTCTCCTCTCATCTTGAAAATAAGACGTCTAGTTTTGAACTCCCCTACCCTAGGGAAAGCGCCTTTGCTATTAATATTATCAATGCTTCTCATCATTTTATAAACCTCTGTAAGGTCACCCTTCAACCTCCTACACTTCAGTGAAAAAAGTACCAGCCTATTCAGCCTCCCCTTAACTCAAACCTTCTAGTCCCAGCAACATCCTTGTAAAGCTTTTCTGAACCCCACCAACTTAATAATATCCTTCCAAAGCAGGACGACCAGAACTGTACATAGTGCTCCAAAGGTGGCCTCACCAACATCCTCTACAACTGCAACCTGATGTCCCATCTCCTATACGCAAAGGTCTGAGCAAAGAAAGCAAGCATGCTAAATGTCTTCTAAACCACCTTGTCTACCTGTGATGCAACTTTCAGAGAACAATGTACCCGAACCCCTGGGTCTCTCTCTTCGACAACACTGCCCAGGGCCTTACCATTAACTGTATAAGTCCTGCCTTTGTTCATCTTGCCAAAATGCAGCACCTCACGTTTATCCAAGTTAAACTCCATCTGCCTCTCTTCAATCCATTGGCCCAATTGATCAAGATGTCTTTGTAACCCCTGATAACCGTCTTCACTGTACTATACCAGCAATTTTTGTGTCATCCGCAAACTTACTAACCATGCTTCCTAAATTCTCATCCAAATCGTTTATACAAATGACAAACAACTGTGGTCCCAGCACCAATCTCTGTGGTACACTGTTGGTCACAGGCCTCCAGTCGGAAAAATAATCCTGCTTCACCACCCTCTATCTCCTACTGTCAAGCCAATTTTGTGTTTAGTTGGCAAGTTCTCCCTGAATCCCACGTGATCAAATTTTGCTAACCAGTCTACCATGCGGAACTTTGTCAAAGGTTTTACTAAAGTCCATGTAGACAACATCTGCTGTTCTGCCCTCACCTGTCTTTTTGGTCATGTCCTCAAAAAACTCGAATCAAGTTTGTAAGACATGATTTCCCACACAAAAAGCCATGCTGACTATCCCTAATCAGTCCTTCCCTCTCCATATGCATGTAAATCCTGTCTCTTAGAATCCCCTCCAACAGCTTGCCCACCACTGATGTCTATAGTTCCCAGGCCTCTCCTTACAGCCTTCCTTAAATAGGCACAATATTAGCCACCCTCCAGTCCTCTGGCTCCTCACCCGTGACTGTAGATGGTACACATATCTCTACTAAGGGCCCTGCAGTTTCTTCCGTAGTTTCCCACACCGTGCTGGGATACACTTGATTAGGGTCCTGGAGATTTATCCGTCTTTGTTTTGTAAGACTTCCAGCACCATCTCATCTCTAATGTGGACTGTTTTCAAGACACCAGTGTTTATTTTCCTGAGTTCCCTAGCCTCCACGTCTTTCTTCTTGGTAAATACTGACACAAAATATTTGTTTAGTATCTCTCCTATCTCCTGTGGTTCCACACCGAAATACTCCTTAACCTTATCTGCCAAGGCTATCTCTATCCCCTTTTTGCCCTCCTGATTTCCTTCTTAAGAATGCTCTTATACCCCTTACACTCTTCAAGAGATTCACCTGATCCCAGTTATCTATACCTAACATGTGCCGCTACCTTTTTCTTGACCAGAGCCTCAATATTTGTGTTCAAAGTACTCATCATTTTATAAGTTTTATTATTCTATAATTGATTGTACATTGGTTCCATTTTCAAAACAATCGATTTTATCACCACTGCCTAGACTCAGGGTAAGGTCATTCTCGTCAACTATGGACTCCTCCCATTGCATCAGTTAAAGGGAATATTATTAACACCCCTCATTACAAGAAGTGCGTAAATGCAATTTCAAATCAGCTGAAGAACTGCTGTGGAGCCCACATTGGCAACTGCATTCCAAATCTGCATCAGGTTCAACTTGGAGACTTGTAGTCACAGAATCATAGAGTCATACTGCACGGAAACAGACCCTTTGGTCCAAACAGTCCATGCCGAACATAATCCCAAACTAAACTACTCCCACCTGCCTGCTGTCAGCCGATATCCCTCTTAAACCTGTCCTATTCATGCACTTCTCCCAATGTTTTTTACATGTTGTATTTGTACCCGCATCCACCACTTCCTCAGGACGTTCATTTCCACATTTGAACCACCCCCTCTAAAAAAAAATTGTCCCTCATGTCTTGTTCAAATCTCTCTCTTCTCACCTTAAAAATGTGCCCCCAGACTTGAAACCCCTCATACTAGGGAAAAGACAAGTATCATTAACTCCATCTATACCCCCCTCATTATTTTATAAACTTCTATAGGTCGTCTCTCAACTTCCTAAGCTCCAGTGAAAAATTGCCCCAGCCTATCCAGCCTTTCTTTATAACTCAAACCTTCCATACCCGGCAACATCCTGGCAAATGCCTTCTCACTCTCTCCGGCTTAATAATATCTTCCCGATAACTGGGTGACCAGAACTGGACACAGTGTTCCAGAAGAGGCATCGTGAAAGTCAAGTACAACTTCAATTTGACCTCCCAACTCCTATACTCAAAAGACTGAACAATGAAGGCAAGCATGCCAATCGCCTTTTTAACCACCCTGTCTATATGTGATGCAGACTTCAAAGAACCCAGGTCCCTCTGTTCTACAACACTAGCAAGGCCCTAACATTAATTGTATAAGTCCTACCCTTTTTTGTTGTACCAAAATGCAATACCTTGCATTTATCCAGAGTGAACTCCATCTGCCATTTCTCAGTCCATTAACCTATTTGATCAAGATCCCTTTGTAATTTTAGAAAACCTTCTTCACTGTCTACTATGCCACCAATTTTGGTGTCATCTGCAAACTTACTAGCCATGCCTTCTGTACTTATTACTCGAAGATTGCTTGTAGCCATTTTCCTATTGTTTATTTCTTTCAACCCAAGAGGCAATAGAAGCAATTGCCGTCTAAAAAATGCCAGCAACACAAGGACCATTATTTCTCGAATTTTTTCTTTCAAAGTAGATTGCTTTTATACAACTATGTTCTTTAACAGCTGAAATAAAATGCAATACTTCTTATATTTTTATGATTGTTACTGTAGTTTTAGAAATAAAAGTAATAGTAAAAATGCATAAGTCATCTGACCATTAAATACACTTTGCTTGTAAATGTTCAACTTATTCATTTAGATTTTTTAAGAAGTTGCACATTATTGCTTTAAAATTGATTGGCGTTTTGTTGGTTTGCCTTAGGTCTGACCATATGGTGAAAATCTTTGATCGACATGGACATAAAAGAAATGAAATTAACTTGCCAGGGTATGAAGATAAAGAAATATTCTATATGACCAGTTATAAATTTGCAGAATGCACAATTTCATTTATTATAATTACTTCTTAAATTTTTACTTCAATTTTGACTACTCATTGTGGTCTACTTTGTAATCACTCTTGCAAGATATTTATAAAATAATGTATGCATTTATTGGTGAATAATTTGTTCTAGTAAATAAATAGAGTTTACAATTGAAAAGTTTAACAGATGACTTCTGAGAGAAAGATTCAAAAATTATAAAGCTAAAATGACAAGAGTAAACTTGGATTTTTATTTTGTTATTATGTGTTTTCTAGAGTTTGTGTTTCTATGGACTGGGATAAAGACGGAGATGCCTTGGCTGTGATTTCTGATAAATCAAATGCCATTTACTTATGGGATGCAAACACACACAAAACTACACAGTTGGACAGTGGAATGAGGTGAGCTAACAATTACAGAAGGAAATTTTATTCTTTCATGTAACAGTTCTTTTAATATGACAAAGTCAGTTAATTATATGGACCAGGTAAAGTTATTTTTAAGATTTCTATCTTTCCCATGGAGCCATCTGGATGATAAATGAATGTATCAAACTAAAAGTTATTCTACCTGTCCTTGGGATAAATAGGGTATTTTGTTGAATTTCTATCCAATGATGTGTTTAATCTCTTATTGTTAATAAAATGGAACTATAGCCCTTATCGTTTATTAACCTCTCAGGTGAATATTTATTAAGTATGGTAGACTTGAATAGATTTATTACAGTTAATGTAGTTTACCAGCCACTTTTCCTGAGATAAATATTGCTAGAAATTTATTTCTAGTGTAACAAACTTAATACCAGCAAAGCTAATGTTAAATCATATTAATTTTTAAGAGCTCATATTTCAGAATATTAGTGTAGTGTAATGGAACAGACTTAATGTATTGGTGGTGGCATTTTGTACTATACTAGAAGCTACTCCATGATCCACTGAAACTTATTTTCATTTTTCAGAACATGGTGATTGGCTTAGTATTTGGTATTATGTTTGACGGAGCATTAATAATTCTTGTGATAATGTATTCCGTATTATATAGAATATGCAAACAAGAAATACATTTTCTTTTGCCATTTATGGAATGGGAGCATCAATGATGAGGCCAGCATTTATTGCTGTCCTTGAGTGCCCCGGGAAAATAGTTGTGAACTGCCATTTTCAATCGCAAGTCCTTGTATGAAGACACACCCAGAAAGCTGGTTGGTCCGGAATTTCAGATTAAGGAGTGCAGTAGGACATGCTGGTAGCAACATCAGGC